GGTGTAATCGGAGATCTACTGATCCGCGAAGTGGAACAGCACATTTATGCGAAAGCGTTAAAGTACGTGGAGTGGGTAACTCGTGGCAGTCAATCGTAAATATTGGTGGATATATAAGAAAAAAACTGGTGGGAAAATCATGAGTAAGCACTGAGGACTTGGTACTAAGTATTCCAAGGTACTAATTTCGGGTGTCCATCGGACACCAGTCTGTGCTGAGTGGAAGTGGGTTCCGCTTTGACCGCCCGAAAGCATATGCGGCCCTTCGGCATCCTGGGTGTTCGTCTCGATGAGGACGAGCAGCCGTTGGAATGAGAATAACTTAAGTGTTAGTTCTGGGTATCAATCATGATAAATCAATCCAGTTACATGCTATTGTTGGGCGTTATTGAGTGAATGCCCACGGTTATGATAAAGTGAGGAAGAAAAAACAGAAACTGAGTGAGAGATATGGTGACGCCGGTGCATGCGTTACAATGTAGGCTTCGAGATAATTCATATCAAGCACAGTTACTTTAGTATCACGCGGCAAAGTAGAACGTGCTCTTGCTTTTAAATTTGTTTCTGATACGCAGTTGATCAGTGGCCAACCATCGCCTACGTCTGTCCTCTGGTCACCAGTGATCATTTTTGTTCACTCCGGTTGTGCTCCGTCTAGACGTTACCAGTATTATTGTACTACCTCCAAACACGATGTGAGATCTGTCAGGTAATGTGAACCAAGGCTCCAAGAATGGCGACAACAGTATGCCTACCAACAATAGGTCATTCTGACTAGTGCTGTTTGAGAAGCACGTAAGATTCTCTGGGGGAGGGGGTTATTTGAATAGACTGTATCTGCTCCGCAGTGCACAGAGTCCGAAATGGATTTTCGTGTCTGAAGTGGACAATGGCTACGTACTAGACATGCCAGGTGTAGGGTGGCGCAAGGCTCGCGGTGGACAGAAGTTGACTTGGCAGCGGCAAATGAAGTCACCGACTACCAAACTGAGTGCCGTTGGTCCGCCTCACCTTTCGGGCTGGGGCCCACGTGACTCGCCTTGTGCTTGGCTCGAGACTTTACAGGACATGGCTTGGAAACGACACCAGTGGCGCGTCTGCTGCCGTCTCCTAATCGGATTGTCTGTTTGGTGCTGAGTTATCTGCGGGGTAATGGCTGATTATGACGCGTGGCAGTGAAAGCCGCAAGGAAGCTGTCTCGCCGATGCCGCCCTATCTTTGCACGATAGCTGAAAAATCTGTTTCCGTTCGATCGCAGAAATATGAAAACAGAATAGCATAATGCATAATTGCAAGATCACACGTGCCCATAATATAAATAGCTCCAGTACAGTAAAGCCGCATATCCACCAGAGGAGCGAAATTGAACGACAGACTGTTGCTCCATGAACTGCCAGGACCAACGAGGCAGATTTGTAACACAAATCTGTCAACTTTACCAATTTGAGTTCAGACTACGTAGTATCGCGTGGCAGGCACAAGCCCGATTTCGCGCGTATTGCTTTGGTCCCTCGAGAATGCAAACGCATCCGCTGATAAATATCCTAGCTCAACGATGTACCCCGGAGAGAATTTCACACCGTTCTAGTCCTAGATGAAAATGAACCTGATATTTAGAAACCGATTTTCTCTGGGTGTGAAACGTATTGTCAACCAGGAGAAGGCACTCAATGAGGTTAAAGGCACGCTCTTGGAGTGACCGAAAACCGTCCAGAATTCATCACACAGGGATGGCTTGGGCACAGATGGATTAATCAGTGGTTGTTCGCCCGTCACCAGCACACGAAATGGCCACTTATCCTGACGCAGCGATGGCCAGATCAGAAAGCGGGTGTTATGTTCATTTCAATTCACAAAAGCCTAACTGAACAATACCATCTAACACAGGGCAAATTTGTTCGGTTAACAAAAGTCTAATTGCAACAGTGACCAGACTATTAATGGAGGTATTAAATACGAGATACATCCATAATGACACACGAGCAAATTTCGAAGGAGTTACAACTGGACAAACCGGTGCTCGAAGCTTACTTTTCCTCCAAGACGATCAGCTTCTTGTTCATAGTCGCAAGACATATCAATTGGGACGATGGTAAACGAAACAACCTTGAAAGCAGTTAAACAATGCGTGTTGTGTAAAAACCGAGGTGGCAATATTAACGCTACATCAATAGACACAAATGAGTCCCACAGCAGTTGAACTGCAGTTTCATTGTAGCTACTGTAAAACAGCGGTTGCGGTCTTAGGAATACCGCAAAAATCCAAGGGGCAAAAATTTTGCTGAGCATCGAAAAGCGCTAACACGTGGAGTTCGGAGCAAGTTAACAGCGTACAATAACAAATGGTGTATATGCGTTGTGGCATGCCATTCATCAGCATATTTAACTGCATATTTTGTTTCACCTGTGTTGAAGTTAACTGCATACGACGCTTTAACGACCATGTTATCAAAGTTAACGGTATATCCAACCGCATTTAACGATTATTACCAATGGACCGTTGAGAAGAAACCGTGGAAGTTCGGTGGCCCAGATAGCTCAATACTATTTCTGCAACCAACCAGTATACTGATTTAGATTCAGGGGGAACCGGAGCGATACGGTGATGCTTTCTTGAGCCGATCGTTGAGCCAGGCAATGATACGATGCCACGTCATGATGGGGGTAAACCGATACTCCCGAACAACACCCAGCTCAACCAATTACTGCACACCCTGTCTGCATATGCAGTCCCCCCCCCATTGTAGGTCACCTGAAGTAGGAAAGAGGTAGGGAGAAAAGGGAAGATGCAGAAGGCGGAGAGTCATTTTCCTGAATAAGAGTACCGTAGGTTGAGGAGTGCACAGAATAGGGGACGTTGGTAGGTAGCTACGGTTAAAAGAAGGGAACGTTTTCGCCTTGCCGCCCGATAGCATATAACTGGCGCGCAAAACTTTTAACCTTTGGTCCACTGACTATACTTGCTGCAAGCTAGTTCTAGCGCTGGCTAGCCGAACAACCTCCTCGTGGTGTCAGCTGGGTGGTTCGGGTTTAACCCGTTCCAGAAAATAGTTCGGCGGCAGTGTTCCAGGACGTGGTGGGTTTCGCCTGGCAAGCGTTCTCCCTATAAAAAGCCACAAATATCTGCTTAACAACACTGTGACGTGGCGGTCGTGACTCGTCACAAAATAAAGTCACTGCTCCTGGATATCCGGATAATTCTTTCCAACCCACGGACCCCAATCTCCTACTCGCATATTGATGACGATATCAAACATTGAAGATTGGATCAGCACAACTGCAAGCAAAAGATACACAGCTGCATACACATACACACACAATGGCATACATACATACCCCCTACACAAACACAAACAGCTATGGCAAACATATCGGAGTTTTGCACCTTCTTGATCATTCATCGTTATGCTATGATCATGTTATGTTATGATCATGCCTGTAAAGGCGTGCCTCACCTTGTTGAGAACAAAAGATTTATTTATTTATTTATTTACTTGATAACAGAGGTTTGAAACTGTACAGGTCTGAACGTGGCTCGTGTTTCTTCATGGGCTTTCCGAGAAGACAAGGCAACCTAGCCGGGCTAAGTAGCCAACCCAAGTCCGGTATACGGTACCATGTTAGAGGCGGTAAGTTAGAATAAGGCCTCGTCAAAACCGTTGGTGGTTCATTGAATACATACCCATGGTAAGTAGACTCACGGAGTACGTTTCCCCCGTAACCCATACATCAAATTGGTTCCTACTATCAAAACCCTCGAGCTCCATCTTTTTGCGGAGGCAATGCGGGCAAGCCTGGACACAATATTCCAGATCGGGTCGAAGAAAAGCTGAAAGCATTGACTAGAACATTCTGATACCCATATTTGTGGTCTTCTTCCAGTTTTCGCCCGAATGCCAAAACGAGGATTAGACGGCGCTAAAGTAAAGCCGGTTGGAGGCAAGTGGTGTTGGACCCCAACCAGCAAGTATCTCGAAGGTGAAAAAGTTGATCTTATACGAAGAATAGAAAGCTTAGCCAGCTTAGTGGACAGTACCCACAAAGTAAGCCAGTCCTAGAGTCAGGTTATTCGGGTTGAATGGCCTCCGAACCACCAAGGACATCTGCAACATCCAATAGCTTTGGGTCAGCATTTAACGATGGTTTTGACACCCAAGCTCCCTGGGTGATCGGTCACGTAGATGGAGAACAGCATCTAGGAACCGAGTACTTTGGGACACCGCTGAGGAATCTTAAACGTTGTTCCTTTCCCTGCAAGAATGTCGATCCACAATTAAGGGCACGCCCAGATACACCGTAAGGGTTCTTCACTTATGGTATCCTCAAGCGGGTTACTAGTCAAATCCTTTCTGGAATTCGAGGAAAAGCACGTGCAATACGTGACCATTGGTCCACGTCTCCTTCCGGAACCTGCGTTCTGCGCTGCTGAGTAAATTAAATTTATTTAGCTCACCTTCCAACGAATATCACACTGGGTTTCAAGCAGCTAGCCCACGACAATAATCACACTGACCGGCCTGTCGATGACTGACGGTCTCATACCGCCATTTTTGTAAAAAGGACAGAGGACAGCATCTTGCTGTTTGCAAACACAATGGACAGCCGTCTATTTACCTCTGAAACACCCTCATCATCCGTCCAGTTACGTCCCCGGTCGACACCTGAAGAAACTTCGGATGCCTTACATAAATAAATAAATAGGTAGCTAAGGAGTTTGGCCTCTAGTTAACCGATGCACACCAAATCAGGCATGATAACTACTTTACAGGCTATTGTGCTTCGCAACAGGCATGTTGCTTTGCATAGAAGCTACCGAAATAATAGATATGCTGGTCAGGCACAAAATCGTTAATAGGGTGGCAACATGCTGTGTGCATGTATCCGTGGTACAGAGCTGTAGTAATAGCGCAATACACTTGAACTGATGAAGGAACGTACACAGAGGGAAGTATCCTTTTAGTGTACTTATAAACGATAGCGAACCATAGTGAGATCCGGCTTGTTTAGCCTGCCAGTGTGAGTTTGTGAACTGAAGTTTTCTGTGGCGAGTCACATCCGCCACAGACAGTTGTGGCTTTTACAGTGGGAACGCTTGCCAGGCGAAAGCCTAGAACTTCCTTGGACACTGCTATCGATGCTTTTGAATAGTAATGTAGAACTTTTAATGTCCTGGAGGGTCGGGTGAAGCACGGAGCAGGTGAGTATGGATTTCGTAGTAATGGAATTTGGCTATGCTGTTGTGGCATACCGGTTCCGGCCTGGAGACTTCGTGTCCAGGCACCTACACCGGACATGTGAAGGGGTGGGTGCGGTTGAGCTTCATGGCTAAATTCGTCCCGTCCCAAGCGAAGGTAAGATTCTTCATTCCACTGCAGGGTTCACCGTATGTTCTCATTATATTCTTTCCATTGATGGCGTGCCTCTCATAGATGAGAATATTTTATTATGTGTTCATGTATAAAATGTGTGGAATTAGCAAACTGAGGGGGCTCAAGCTCTTTGTTCAAGTCACATACATGTATAGTTATCCACAGAAGAGGATCAGAGTTACTCCACAGGTCAGTTATTGTCACAAAAAAGTCATTTTGTCCATTAACGGCTCCTATGGGTGTCGTCAGCAAAGCTCCGGGTAACTGGAATATCAAAATGTTATCGCAAAATGAAGTCACCGTACCCCATTGTCCAAACACTACGGAGGAACGGCAAGGCTGTCCGTGCAAATTTAAGTCAATCGCGACAGCACCATCTGTCATCCACAGGGGAAAAGGATACCTGTAAATCATAATTCCAGAGGAGTGACTTGTGGCAATGTGATTGCGGGGCGAGCTTAACCCTTTTTATCACACCTGCTTTGATGTGCTTCGATGCCGTCAAGACAAACCTAAATATTTATTTGTTTTTAGGCTCCGTTCCAGCGACATCCTAAAAGGCGGTGAGGATACCTTATTAGGAAAAGAGGTGGTATCGTCAGCAGGGTGATTTATTCTTGTAATCAAGGTAATGAGCTCATGTTTCAAATCAGCTGGCAGTAGATGATAGCTCAGCCAGTACCAGATGGTGGTCCGTTATTCGTCGGTCGACTTAGCTTTGGATACCTGGGAAAAACCGTGTCTCTTGCGCTGGTCAGACATTTGCAATGGAACGCTTATTTCAAACTACAGTAAACCAGACACAGTCTAAGCTATACCGCGCCAGTCGCAGTACAACTTTCATATATCTAGGATTCTCTATGCAATGTCAACGATTCATGGAAAAGTGGTCGCACTGTGCAAGCAGTGGCAAGTGTTAGCTAGGTTGACTGTTGCTGGGTCTTTAGAAACTGTTTTATGCCACTGAAATACACGTTGAAAACCATTTGACGAATAGAGATCACTTGGCAAACGTTTGCAGCTGGTCCTAGGGCATGCCGTGAAAGCCCATTGCATGGTTACAAACGATGTCCATGGCCACAGGAACCCATGCTATGCCACATCATAACGCAACACCAAAAACCCATGGCTTCAGCAACAACCATTACTTATCAAGTTGTGGCAAGGTCTCCCACTGGGTCGCACGGGGACGCACAGATCGTTAACTAAGCTGCATCCCAAAGGTCACGCACACCGACGTTTTAAATAAAATGCATCCGATAATATCTTAAGTCCTAAGGTGTAAGCAATGCAGCATGCAGTTTGAAGGAGTTATGACATATAGCTCGCAACTAAAACTTATTGGTCCCAACTTTTCAAGTATAGGAGGACCGGCCGACAAATGATTCGTCCAGGAATTCTTCTACGCATATAATGCAGCAATTATTTTCGGTTAGCCGTGAGCCTGTTGTGCTTTTATGCGGCTGGATTGTGTGTCCTGTTGTAAAATATCCAGCACCTCATCCTATAAGCGGAGTTAAAGATCACCTTGTAAATGTATGGTCCCTACGCGTGTACTTGAAGTTTTCTATATTACGCAAAACACCTTGACTTACCCTGGAGACAATGCTAAAGCTTCAGTTGCTTTCAACACAAGTTTAGTTGAGATCGCGACTACATTGACCGCAATGCGCTTTGCCTACTCCTCTTAAACTGACACCGTTGCAAGTACGTTGCAAGTACGTATTTCAAGTCGTAGCGAATAAGCAAGAAGACGCGTCAGTCTGGCGCACAGCGTACTGAACACTTGACGGTTTACATGTGAACACGGAACGTTAGGGTGTGTCCTTGAGTGCGTGTGTGCGTGCTTATCTACGTGTGTGTGTAGGGCCAAGCAGGTTCACGGTCATAGCGAGCGATCATTGGTT